GGACAAGATGGAGCAGCAGCACTTACTCTAGGTTGGATGGATCAGCCTCTATACACAGTTTCAGCATGGACACCAGTTGATGTTGCAGGCAGCTCATCGTCATTTTCTCAACCAAGTTAAAATAGCCGCGGATTTTAGTTTCTTCATACAAAAATTTCATTCCATTGTTGCATACAGAAAAGAAAAGGGATACAGAATTCTTTGTAGGTAGGGGAAATCTGTCATTAGTATTATTCTTTCATTCTTTCCTTGCAGATATAAGATCGTCAGTCCGGTAGAGTCAGAGCCATTTATTTTGTAAGAAGAAAACAAAAAGTGACTAGGTTGATATTTTGATTTCAATTCTTTGCAGTCAGTGTTCTTTAGAATTAAGGCATTCTGAGTCAACTTGTGTTTATTCTTTCATTCTTTTATATGTAATTCGAAATTCTTTGTAAGTCAGTCAAGTCATGTGATCTATTTAATCTTTTGTTGTACTAGTAATAATGGACCATGTAGCTGAAAATTCCATTGTCATATATAATATGGTTGTGTTTGCTCACCTCTCTCTCTCTCTCTCTCTCTCTCTCTCTCTCTCTCTCATCTGGGCTCTCTCACATAAAAATAGGAGTGGCCCAATCCATGTGGGCTTTTCAAAGCGTGAAGCATAATGAGCTTTGTGAGCCAAGTTTAGCCTTAGATTTGGCTTTTCTTGCTTGGGCATGGAGCTGCCAAATTAGCTCCATGAAATGCTAAAAGGTTTAAACTTTGATCATATCATATCACTGACCCCAAAAAAAATTAAATTAAATTATTTTTTTGATAATATCAGAATGTTACCTGTCAACATCTCATTATATTATTTTAAGGCAGATTTTCGTTTGGGTTTGCAAATTTAAAGGCATCAACACACAACTTGGCTGATCACTTTATACGATATCATGATGTCACACTCTCTTATCTAATTGTATTTTATATCTAATCTCATATTATTATAGTTAATCACCTTAAGCTTTGTTTTTTGAGGTCAACATATGGGCTTCGTCACAAAGTCAGCATATCCGACGGTGCTACGTGCTGTTAGGTATATTCTCGACAGTGTAGAGTTAAAAAGTTTATCTCTCATTAATGTTATTTTATTTTGATATTATAATTAATCCTCTCCTCTTTAATTTCATTGTTTGTGGTGGACCATGCGAAATTGACATAAACCAAAAGGCTAAAGCCAACTTGAAGGCTACTAGGATGAGCTCAAAATTTGTCACATTAGCACACCTACTTCCGGTGGAGCAAAGACGACAGCTAGGCAGAGTTGATTTACAAGCTTAAAGTAAACATATATATATATATATATATGGGGTGTGCTAGGGCAATTTAAATTTGTTTCTTACACCCTATTTTCCAACGGTAAGGAAAAAACTCACCCAAGTAAAATTTTGATGTTTGTTTTAATTGTAGTTTAAGTTATTTTCGTTTGGCTGAAGAAGGTACCGAGTTTAACTCACATTCACACATGGATGTGAGTCGGATACTTATTTGTGACTGACTTCATTATTGTGGGCGTGTGAGCATCCAGTTGTAGATGGTACTTCTTCGCAAATATCTTATCATTTGTTGAAAACGAAAATGCATTTTGACGTTTGACATGTCCGAAAAGTAGAAACGATCCTTAAATTTGAGCCACAAAGGTTCTCAAATTAATCTACATGACATTGTTGTGTGGCACTAGCCAGGGTTATGATATCAATATGTACGAAGTTAAATGAACAATTAGCTGTCAATGGGCCCCCATTCTCCTCAGATTTGCCGCTAATGTCGATATCAAGACCTCTTTTTATGGGTGTCAATTTGTTCAAGTCGTTTCCCATTTGCTCATGTTCTTGTCTTCTTCTTCTTCAGCAAAGTCGTATATCAGTCTATGGAATGGTAGTTGTTGCCTGCTTGCTAACATCAAAGGAGATCTTACACAGTTACCTTTATATGATTTTATAGGGTTATATCTACATCAATTGTACCACTCAATTCGGCCATCAGGTTTCTTTGTTCTCTATTAGGGTTCTTTTATTAAGTTTTATATATACTTGGAAGAAGTCAAGAAGATAGTTAGAAGGAGGTAAGAGATCCTGTATATGATTTACCTGCGCTCCATGACCATGCGATTCTTAACAGCAAATCCTATTTAAATCAAGGGCCATAAATAAATCAAGATGACTTTCATATTTAACATCATCACCATACATGACAAAGACATATGATTAATTAATTAATTAATTTTCATTACATTAATTCATTGCACTTTCTTTCTTCACACTCGGACCGCATATTTAAATGGGAAATGCAACCCTTTGAATATGTATACGGCATAACAATAGATTTGAGAAGGGATCCCTGTAACTTTGTGCCCAAATCAAACATAAAAATCTAATAAACCCCCAGAAAGATCATACTATTTATTTACATCATGTCTTTCCGGTATGCTTGATAGGGTCGTGAGCCATGCATTGACCAAGTGATGAATATGACGATGTGACCTTAATTAAAAACACATGAAACCAAGCGATGAAGACTGACTGGATATTAACCATTGATTACAAATTAATTAAATTAGCATTGGAGCTATTAAAAGTAGATGCATGTTAACATCAAACCATTTATTTGCCCCGTCTACTTGGACTGACCAAATCCTTTTCCTTTTCAGGGTTAAATTTCTTCTGGTTCACACAATACTTTTCGTATACTCCACGCCAATTCTTGAAATAGCATTTCTTAACCAAATGATTACTTCAATTATTGTTATTGATACAAATTAAGCATTAGGGTTTCGTGCTAGCTAACCTAATATTTCTGTACCGCATATGTCATGGTATTGGCAGACAGTTTCCCCATTGAAAACCACTAGAAGCAGCTAAGTTCTGGTAGGTGTTGCAGTCTTCCCCTTGTGCATTTCAACAAGTCTTCTTTGGTCTCGAATTTAAATAGCTATCTCTTATGCTTAGCTGACTAGTTCCTACCCAAGTGGGAGAGACCACTCGGTCCAACTCTAAATATTAAACCCAAGTGGGAGCTACCTCCCAGGCATATGATTGTAAACTTGAAGATGCTCATTTCAACTCACAAGCCAATGAAAGATCCTTTAGCAATTTTTTTTATGTTGTTGTCAAATATTTGATATGCTACTTTTTACTGCTATCTGTGAATCGGACAAGATACTCAAATATGCTAATCTATAATTAGTTTTACCGACAATCTTATATGCAAGATTCTATGTTCGTTTCATCCTCCTCAAATATCGCTTGTTTAATTACACTAAATCGATATGTTATGTTATGATTATCGGCAAAAGATATAACTGAGATGATTTCTTTCAACCTAATAAAAGATAATTGAGAGGATTTATATGTCCTTTGATCCAAAAATTTGTCAATGTTTATGATTAAACAAAGCTTGCAATATATATAGATTGCAATGCCAACTATGCCAAGATACCAACTGACAACGGTGCCAAAGATACCTAACTAATTGTAAAATATGAATCTTATCATATAATATTTAAAGAAAAAAATTGGCCTTCTCTGCTCCACCATGGCCGAGGTTGGCCTTTTGATCCCTTATCCATTCTTGAGAGAAACCCTAACCATGAAAACAATGGGACACATTGCAAGACGGCTAAATATTAGCATGCCACCTCCTCAAAGCTGACTCAGAACCACGTTGAGGGTCAATGTGTTTTTTTGCTAATCGTAGGTATCTCCTTTGGTCCACGTATATTTCCTTGTTTACTTTATCGTTTTGGATCAATTGTCCACGTATTTGACACTTATTTGAATTCCAAATCAAAGACCTCAACCTCTCATTTAATTTAAATGGCGATTAATATAAGGGACGAGGACTCTTTTTTTCCTTGTTAAATATTTGTGATTATGGATAATGGGATTCTAGTGCTCCCAATTTGGTATTATTGAATTTCCAATATTAAAATTAATGGCTACCCTTGTATTGTTTTTGTCAAAAAATATTCAAGAGCTTATGTGTTTGAAGGAGAAAAGCAATTAGAAAATGTATAGTTAATAGGGTTTGGAGATATAGTTGATTAGCTAATTTAGAATATTGTAGGTCTTTCCTAGGAAAATTGTGATGCGATTGTTGAGGTGGATAGTTCTATTGGGAGCTCCCCCTCCTTGACTGTTGAGAATCATAACGCACACGTGAATGAATGTCTGAGAATTTCCATTCTTTATTACACAAGAATTTTATAAAAATAAAAATAAAATCTTTGAGTTTTGTTTTGTGCTCATTAATCTTTTCCAAACCAGGATGTCAAACTATCTTTTTTAATTTTTAATTTCTAACTTTTTAATGTTCGTCTCATTTTCTTAACATTGATAACAATTAATTCATTCTTTTTAAGAAAAAAATGGAACCATTGTGAACTTAAAATCAACAAGTAGATTCATTCGTACATGAGCCGCTCATCAATGATTCGAATTTTTCTTACCAAAAATTAGCCAAATTTTAACAATTTAATAGTAATCAAACAGTTTTCATCAAAAATAGTAATCAAACAGTAAACAGTTGGCAAAAAAAAAAAAAAGATAAACAAACACCATATTTTCAGATAAACCGAATTGATCGGGATAAGAATCTAATAGTTATTCAACCGATGCCACCAATGGAAGTGTATCCTAAAGGATTTTCTCGCATAGCCAAAAAGAATCTAACTAGAAGAAAACAATCTTCAACAGAAATGAAAATGTTCTAAATAAAGTAAATTAATAATAATAATAAAAATTACCAGATACGATTTTACCTTTTAACCATCAACCTTATCGTCCAATCTATCAGAAACCTTTTATCCAAAAAAGAAAAAGAAAAAGAAAAAGAGAGAAGTCAGAAACCAATCCAAAATGTTTTAAAACCAGAAACGGTTTACTGTGTGAACCAGCGACAAGTCCACAGCTATCCACTGTTTCTAATTAAAAAATCAAAATGGCGACAATACAATAGTCTCTCTTCGTGCTCTATATTTCTTCCACATCAGATATCGCTGTCCTCCCCTGCTTTACTCGGGAAACAAACAACCAAAACAATCTCTCACATCTTGGGCTCTACTCGTCCCTCAACGAAAGTTCAATACTTTAGTGCATGCATCGAGATTTCATGTCCTCTCCCACCAAACCCATCTCTCTATTTCTTCACAAAGCTTAATTCTTCACAGCTTTCTGAGCTTCTCTCTCTGTCTCTGCCTCTCTGATTGCTCTGTTTGGCTATGGGTGCTAGTTTCTCTGCTTGCAAATCAGACCCAGTTGGGGCTTTGCCTTTGCAATCAAACCCCAGTCTTGGCGATTTGCCGGAGAGCTGCGCGGCGCTGATTCTGGGTTATTTGGACCCACCGGAGATTTGCAAATTGGCGAAGCTCAATCGGGCTTTTCGTGGAGCTTCTTGGGCTGACTTCATTTGGGAATCGAAATTGCCTTCCAATTATCAAACTATTGTTAGAAAAGTGTTCGGTGATGGTTTGGAAAATTTGGGTAAGAGAGATGTTTATACGAGGCTTTGTCAGCCTAATTCTTTCGATGATGGTACCAAGGTGGGTTATCTTTCGATTTTCCTTTTTCCTTTTTGTTTTGTTTCCCTTTTTTCTGTTTGGGTATCTAGAAAGCGTGGGAAAATGATAGAAATTGGAGGCTTTGACTTGAATTGTCTTAGCGAGGAAATCGTATTGAAATCGTATTGAAAGAAGAAAAACTGTGTAATGAAAGTTTAGATATTTTCATGTTTCGGGACTATTTTTTGACTTTGTAAGCTTTACTATCTTTATCTTATCGTTTCTATGTTTTGTTTCCTTGCTTTGGATTTGGTGTGCGGTGTTTGAAATTTTTTGTGTTGGGTGCAGACAGTTTGGCTGGATAAAAATACAGGATCTGTTTGCTTGTCGATTTCTTCAAAGGGATTAGCAATCACTGGCATTGATGATCGAAGATATTGGAATCATATTCAAACTGAAGAATCTAGGTGAGAATTACTGATCTTCTTTTTCCTTTCTCATTGAAATTCCAGTGAAATGGGAAATTTTGTATGTTATAGATTGCTGATGAACGTCCAAGTATTACGTCGAGTTTCCTTGCTGGAATTTTCCCAAGTAGGTTTATTTATTTATTTAGGTTATCCCTTTTCTGAATTTTTAATGATGTTTCGATTTTAATGCATGATGCTGAGCTATGGAAGTTTGTGGTTGTGATCGTATGTGGTGTGTTAATGACTTTTAAGTTTTTGTGGTCAAGCATGCCAAAAATTATTTACTTTGGGCAATTTCGTATTTTCGGGGTAACCACCCTGTTTTGATCAATCTAATGATCAGTGATAAGGGTTTGGATCAACATAATATCTGCATGTTCAAGTACTTGCTTTCTGTTCTTGGAGGGGAGGAGGGAGGAGGAAGGAGTTTATTAACATATATGTTCACTTTGTCCACCGAAACTAATGAAAATGGGCTACAAGAAGAATTATAACAAATCGTTAGAGCAACCTGCCATATAGATAATGTGATTCTTAATTCTTATCATTGCTAGGACATGAGAATACAAAATTTTCTTGGTACATAGTTACTGCTTGACTGGAGTTTGAGCTTATTAAAACTGCCACAAAAGCATGTCAGAAGTTATGAAGCATCTGATATTAAGAAAGGGTTCAGTTTCAGCTAATTTAAATTGCCAGTAAACTCTTCAAAAATTAAAAGCTTCTCATATTAGGAAAAATCTAGATTTTTTCAACCTGATTTGCGCTTATTTTGAATGCTAACAGACCTTTTTATGAATCTGTTTGTACTGTGGCTTGCTGGTTGGCTTTCCCTTCAAGTTGACTGCATCCTACATAGTGTGTCTAAAAGCATTTACAGAATGAATCCCAAAGGGTATACAATTCAAGATTGATGTGTATTTTTCTTTTAATTTTATTCTGGTGCTCATTTGGGCCTCATGACTAAAACAATGCATCTTAATGTGATCATGTGAAATAAACCGAAAGGTTGTGGATTGCTTACTTCTGTTGTGGCTATGATGTCCCAAGCCCCCTGGTTCTTGGGTTTTTGGAATTGCATATCCTCCTGGTTCTGATTTTCTGATTGAGGTTGCCTCACTGGAATAAGATGCTTTACCTATTTACCTTTGCACTAAAAGTATTCGGGGAACTAAGTTGGAGTTTTCTTTTCTTGAACACAGATTTTGCAGCGTTGCGTATCTTCAGCAAATATGGTGGTTTGAAGTCGATGGGGAGGTTGAGTTCCCGTTTCCAGCAGGGACATACAGCCTATTCTTTAGGCTGCAGCTAGGACGGTCTTCGCAGAAGAGGTTTGGTCGCCGAATTTGCAATACCGAGCATGTCCATGGTTGGGACATAAAACCAGTGAGGTTTCAGCTATGGACTTCAGAAGGTCACTATGCCTCGTCCCAATGCTTTTTAACTGAACCTGGAAAATGGAACTACTACCATGTTGGGGATTTTGTTGTGGAGAACCCCAATGCATCAACAAAGATTAAACTCTCTATGACCCAGATTGATTGCACCCACACCAAAGGTGGCCTCTGTTTAGACTCTGTACTTATGTACCCTAGTGAATTTCGAGAAAGGCTAAAGCATTTTTAATTTGCGCTTAACCTTTTCAGTTAGGTAGTTCTGTATTATAGAATTAGGCCATCTTCAGCAGAAAGCCAATTTAGATGTAGTGAATGTCTCCTTGGGGTCATGTGTGTGTAAGCAAAGAAACGTGTAAATTCCTTCTCTCTTTGTTTGATTCGTTTAATTAGTGTCAGTGGATTAAGATTTTGTATGTCTGTCTGTCTCCATAGTCAGAGGGGCTTTCTGCCTTGTATGGGATTTTGAGAAATTAATGATAGATATATTTACAGTTGAACTTTCGTATTGCTCTTTCGTTTAATTAGTGATAGTATTAAGATTTTGTATCTGTTTCCATAGCCAAGGTCTTCTGTCTAGAATAGAATTTGGTTTTGAGAAATGATCACAACCGCATATTTACAGTCAAAGGGAAAACCCTTGTTTGTCTTAAACTACTGCAGAATTATCAACAAGTGTTTTATCATATTTTACTTTCTCAGAACACCAGTTGCAACCTATTCCCCATTTCCAGTCCATTCTTGCATAAAGAAAAAGAAATATGAACTGAAAAAGGGATTTGATTGCAAAATCTGAACCAGCTCAGGCTGTAAATACTAATACTATAAAGATCACAGCATGTAGCTTGATACATATTACAAGAGCTTGGGTTGGGAAGGAGCCCGTACACATGTTTGAAACTGATCATAAACTAATACTCAAAATGACATTAGAACTGTGTCAGTATCCATATCTGGTAATATTAGCAAAACGATAAAATCTGCATCTGGAGATCTGTAGTCTTGTACAAACTCTGCATTACGCACTTACCCATCATACCTCAGAATCTCACAATAAAACCAACCCAAGAAGAACTATTCAGACCTTCCAACCATAACCCATGTCATTGCCATTTCCATAAATGGTATTATGATCATGATAGCCATGAGAAATATTAAGTATTGATTCCGGTAAATAAAGCTTTCCAGACAAATTTGATTCTCCATTGATGAAGCAATTATTGGTATGGACTTCGGATGAGTTCCTATTGAAGGCTGCCATCGAGCTACTGGTCCTTCCTGCAATACTGTCGAACACATTTCCTCGAGCAGCTGCAGCTGTTGGGCAGCCCCAAACTCCTGAAGGCAACTCTATAACTGAACCTTTACCACTCCCCCAGATGGGCTCTTCCCTATCATGCTTATTTGCTGATTGGCTATTGTTGTTGATCATTTCCTGTACTAGTTTTTGAATGGCATACTGCTTCATAGATGAATCTAAACTTGACAAGCCATTTTCCACTGAGCTTTTAATCAGTCCTGAATTTGAGGCTCTAGGACCCTGAAATGGTTCAGAAGAGGTGTCGTGGTTGTGCGGCTCCTGGCTAGCTCTGCTCACAATGGAGGTCAAGTTGCTTTGTCCCGTCAATTTGTGGTGAGAACCACGCAGCAATGATGCTGCCAGTTCTGCGCTAGTTGAAAGTCCTTTGTGACTCATAGGTGAGCTTTCATTTGTATTACTTCTAAAACCACAAGATGCAGCCATCAACTTATTGTTGTCTTTTGGAGGATCTCGTGCACTCTCTAGCTGCTCCTTTCCTTTTATTTCCTGTTTCTGGAGCTTGGTCGTGGCAGCTCCTCTGCAATAACTTTCCAGGCTCTCTACAAGTAAACTTGTAAGCAATTACCTCAACTAGGGATGAAATACAATGTTAATAGGAACTCAAGCAACAGTTAAAAAATATATATATATATTTTAACTTCCATCTGAGGGGCAATAAGGAACACGAGTGTCTCTCCTTCCTACCAACAAAAAGAAAATCTTCCTTGACATTATGAAAAACAAAGTCAAGTATTCACAGCACCATCTGAAAAAATTTATCTCCAAAAAACAGAAAAACAATCAAGCCTTTACTCAGAGAGTTATGTGCTTGACAAACAAGCACAGTTATCATGCATAAGGAGGTGCAAAGAGCCATCTCAGGAGCTACTCAACAACATATGTAAAAGAATATAAATTATTGAAGCCCAAAAAAAATGCAGTTGTTCCATCGTTTGTCAGAGCAGAATAACCACCATGGAGGTGGAAAACCATTGAATTGCTAAACTGAAAACTAAATACACGGCAGAAGCCATTAACAGGAACACATGACTTGCTACTTACCAATTGGGCCAGTATCATTATCCTGGCATAAAATCATTAAATCTTTCATTGTGTAGACAATCTCAGCTATCTGTTAAGAATGCAAAAGAAACTGTTAAAAAATTGGACATTAGTTTCAAACTAACGCAAAATGAATGATCAATACCTGCAAGCACCGGGTGTATCTCTTGGAAAATCCCAAATCATCAACCAGCTGTTGATCCACAGTCTTTGCAAGTTGTCCTCCGGCTGCTAGGATCCTACAGTAATTTAAAGGATAAAGAACTACATTATCATTACCTATCATGACAGCATTCTAGCTGGAAGAATAAAAGGCCCAATAATAGTTACACACTAGCTGCAGTATACAGTTCTCTCCCCTAAAGATGAGGTTTCTAGAATAACATGAGAAGCAAAATTATTATCTCAAGTACTTTTCATCACTACACGAATTTATACAATAATAGGTAACTGGTCTTCAATATAACTAGAAAAGGAGAACCATCCATTCTTACGTATTGCAATTTGCTTGTACATCTTGGAACAAAATCCCATCAGATCCTCTATCATCAATAGAGCACTTATAATCCTGTACGGCATGAACCAGCTGAACAACCTAGAATACGACATAATTGAAGAACAAAAGTTACAAGAAAGTAGATCCTGAAAGGAATCATAAGATGACTGAACCCTACGTTGAGCAATGACCAAATAGGACTCTTTTACAAGCTTACAAAAATACACAAAGCACAAAACAAGAAAGATTCATACCTGCGGTGCAACTGCAGTTCGACGGAAGAAAACTTCATGAGAACATACACAAAATTCCCAGGACAATATCTGAAAAATCAACGGGGATATAAATAAGGAAAACTTATATGAAGACGAGTAGTAAACAAGATAAATAAAGAGTTAGAAACAGTATGCAATTAACCCACCAACTTATACAAAGTGCACTCACCTTCAAGTCATGAGAGAATACTATACGAAGTCGACCTTCATGAACAACGTGAAGTTGCTGATAGACACTCTCTTGAACGGCTTTTCCATATTCCAGCATCATTACTCCAGAAGGAAATCTAATCTCACGAGGCAAATCGAGGAACAAGAGTTCATCGATCACACCACTCCCAAATGTGATTTCATTTAGCCTTGGAAGCACTTCAAAATATGCCTCTATCAAGTGGTAAAGGACCAATAGAAGTTGAGGGATATAAAAAATAAAAATAATAAAAATAATAATAAAGCCAGATATTCAGAGAAAATAGATTTAGTAAAGTGCAAACATTTTTTTTACCAAATCCCCTTCTTGATTTACAACCACATATGTTACACTGCCATGGTACCTGACAAGACAACAGCAGCAAAACTACCAACTTTCAGTTTGTAGAAAAGATAAGAAGAAGAAGAAGAATCAGGTGCATTCATATCAAGACATGCATGCTGAGAGATATTACAAGTGGGGATCTACATTTATGCATCTAGTAGGAGTCATAAGTAACAAAAATCAACAAATGGAGCCACAGAATGAAAACCGACCATCGTTAGATGGGGCAAAATACCAAGGGAATCGCGTCCAGCTTCATCATACGAGGACAGACACCACCTTTTCTTAGCACTTGGGGCATAATACTCTGCCACAAATTTCCTCCAATAGGACAAGTTATTGTCCTAAAAGAGGGGTAAAAGAGAGTAAGATTATGTTCAAGTTATATAAGTTGAAAAACAAAGATGAAGCAGTCATGACAAACATGTAAGGAAGTGCAAAATGATTATAATTCATGAATAAATATCAACGGTATATTATCAATTAAGCTAACTACTAACGGCTGGCCGGTTTCGGAGATGATATATGTACTGCATTAGCCGGCGTGAACAAACACCTTCATCAGGGAGGTGCATAACAGATGCTTGATGCACCACCTCCTGTTGTGTTACTACATGCCTCATCGGTTGCTGCTGCTTTTCTTTGTCAACACCCTTCAACTGCAGAGAAGGATGTAAAACCTTTGGCTGATCTTGATTCTGCGACATATTATAATGAAACAATTCCTGTATTTGCAATTTATTTCTTTGCAATTCCTCAGAGTCCTGACTCTGCAGTAGCTGCTGAATAGCATGCTTGTTAAGACTAGCCTCTTTCTTGATGTCTATTCTAGGTTTCTTATGCCTCTGACTTGAGGTAAGAGGTTCCTGTTCTCCACCATTAAAAAGTGGATGGTGGTTCTTCAATGCTGGCTGAGGTGCAGCCCCGAAATGCCATTGATATTGCTTCCTTTTAGGCGGCATCTGGGTGCATTTATGTTTTTAAATGCGATGTCTGCTGCAATTTGGAGGAAACAAGTATAACTGAAGAGTTTGAAGGTACCTGAATTTATGCAAAGAGAGAAAGTCACAGGCGGTTCAAAAAAAAAAAAAAGATCTTAAACACCCTTTTCCCTCGTGGTTGAAAATTTTATAGTATCTAGTAGACAAGTACATGGCTTTCAGGTACTGAATAACATAGTTTTCCACATGGATAGCTACCAATAATATAACCAAGAGCTGAGTTACACATTTACTATGAAACAAAAACATAGAACTTTTCAAGCTTTCATGCACATACATAAACAATAGCAAAGAACCAAACTTAGCATTAAACCAACAAATAAGACTGTTTGGTTTCCGGGAAAAGGGGCAAAGAACAACAATTAAACCCATCCCCAAAGAAAACTCTCCATGGATATAAAGAGGGCAAGCACAGAAGTTGCTTAAGAAGCAAAACCCATGTCCAAAATTCTTCCTTTCCGTCATTTCTTCTGAGAAACTAAGTAAAGCCTTAACCTTTCTCAGTAAATAGTCAGGGAAACAACAGTCTCATCACAAATGGAGCCTGCAGATAAGGTAATGTCCAATTTTCAGCCCCAACAAGGCACAAAAATCAAAGCTCTCTTTTACGTTCTTTTCCAACATTTTCTCGGAAACCAAATGGATCTACTTTCTTGGTAAAAGAATCAAAGCCAAAACAAAGTAATGCAAAGTAAATAAAACAAAATGCTGGGTCTATTTTCTCACCCACAAGGCAGCATGAACTTTGAAGCAAAAGTTGAAAAAGCTCAGATTTTGTTGCCAAATATTAAAAGAGCTTAAGAGCTCATGATATTGGCTCAACCCAGAATCGATTGAAGCTTCGAGAAAGCGAAGAGGTGGCGTGTAACTTGTTTGGAAGAACCGCCATGGCCGTGAGGTAGCAGCAAAGGTTGGTATGTATGCTATGGTGAGCGGGAAGTGGCACCTTTGTTAAGAGTGAGGATGCCTGCGAGTGGAGACCGGCTGTGCCGGTTACTGGGCTTGGTTTAACCGGATGTCCCGGTAAGAGTTTGGGCACGCGTCAGCCTAGGACAAGTCACGTACAGCTTCGAGGAGATTTTGCAGTAGGGCATATGAACCTTCTTGTCTCCTTCGTCCTTATTCAACCCTTGGTCCTAGGATTTTCCAGTTATTCCGAAATTGCCCTTGCCGATTGCGTGTGCTGTCCTATCCTTTATTTCATTTGTTTTTTTAAGAGTGATGCTAAACAAACCCTAAAACAAAAACTCTTATATTTTAATTGGAGAGCTATTAAAAATTATCTTCCTTGTAGATCTAATCTGTTGAAAAGAAAGATAATTTCTTATGATTCTTGCCCCATTTGTAATGTGAATTCTGAGACTGTAATTCATGCTTTGTGGAGCTGTCCTAATGCCTAAAAAGTTTGAAAAAAAGTGTTATTCAGGGAGGTCTTTACAGGGCTACACTTTTCCAATTATGGGGATCTATTTGAAATTGCCACTAGGTATCTTTCGAAGTATGAAATGCGCTTGTTTTTATATATCTGCTGGAATCTGTGGCAAAACAGAAATAAAGTTGTTATTGAAGGTCGCTCTAGTGCACAAAATGTGATTTTCAACAGAGCTATTTTTTTGGCTGATGAATATGAAAGTCTTGTGAAAGGGGAACCTAAGTTAATTGTAGAAAAACCATCCAAATGGTCTCCTCCTCCTGTTGGTAGATATAAACTGAATGTTGATGCTGCTTTTATTCCCGAAACAGGTGTGAGTGGAATTGGTGCTGTTGTTAGGAATGACAAAGGGGAAGTGATGGCGGCTATGGCCCTTCCTCTTGCCAATGCCACCTCATCTAAACATGCAGAGATCATGGCGCTTCAGTTCGGGATGAATTTTGCTCGGGATGCTGGCTTTTCTTCTTTCTTAATGGAGTCTGATTCACAAGGGGTGGTAAATGATGTAAAGAAGGATGAGGAAGAGTCGTGGGCATCAGACGGGCATCTTATTGATGATATTAAGAGGAGTCTACAACATTTTGAAGAAGTTACTATCTCTTTTAGTCCAAGACGGTGTAACCAAGTTGCTCATTTTCTAGCAAGGCATGCTCTTAATTGTGATAATATGGTAACCTGGATTGAAGAGGTTCCCTTCTGGCTGGATTCAGTTGTAAATGATGACATTGTTGTATCCTCTTAATTTTATCAATGAGTTCTTCTTTCCCCAAAAAAAAAAAAAAACTGACTATACCCTACTACTAAACTATTTATTGAATTACTAATTTACCCTAATATAAAATGACCAAAAAGAATATATTAAATTGTGTACCCCAATATATTCACCTTCCTTAAGACTTCACACATGTTCATTGTTATAACTACAGTCAACTCTTTAATTTTAAATCTTTTAAAGTATTTAGAACCAAAAAATAAAGTAAAATAAAAATAAAATAAAAATAAAACTCTCTCCTTCCCGACCCACTCCACCCTTAGACCCTATTCTCTATGCCACCCCCCTCAACAACCCGAGTCACCATTTCTCCTTCAACTCCAACGGCAACTCATTAAAACCCAATTCTCAAATGCAACAATCCAACCCCAGTCCCAATTCAGATGTTTCCAAAAAAAAACCATGGTGGTCGTGGTGGGGAACTACAATTCCATGTAGTGGTGGTCGCACAGGAGAGAGAGAAAAAGAGAAGAAGAAGAAGAAGCTGCAGCGTTGAGGAGAGAGAGAGAGAGAGTTTTTTTTTTTTTTTTTTTTTTTGTGGTTAAAATATTATTTTACTTTATTTTATGATTTTAAATACTTTAAAAGATTAAAAATTAAAGAGGGTGTACCATGGGTAGTTTTGGTAGTTAAATAGGGTGTACTTAGTTAATTTGACATTTTAATTCAAACATTAAGGTGTGCTTAGATTATAGGGTGTACTTAGTTAATTTTAGGGTTCGTTTAGCAGTACTCTTTTTTAATTTTGTTAATGAAGTAGCCATATAAAAGTACACACAAAAAAAAAGTATATTGTGATGATGTTAACGTAATCATCTTTTGGTGAACTTTGCAAATTATCTTAAGCATTAAGGGATTCCCTTTATAAACTTTTTTCTTGTCATCTTTTAGTTCATCATTGGACGGTGCAAGAATCTTTATTTAAAAATACGACATTTTGTTTTTTTTAAGTAATATTCTAAACTACTCTAAATTACGATGAGAAAATCAAACTCAAATGACAATGGACACACGACTAACCCACATTTGCAAGAAGATTAGTGTCTTAGCATTGATGTTCTCACATACCATGTTAAGAAAACGAAGGAAATAAGCATTTGCTAAATTAAAGTACAACCAAATGACAAAACTAAATAACCATTATCTTCTCCATTATCATATACTTGAGCTACCAGTATACTTTGAACCAAGAGCTTTAGAACAAAAAACCCTAACTATTAACCAAAAGACTCCTATAGGATTTAAGATTAAAACCAAAAAGCTAAAAAACAAAACAAAACAAAGAGCACCAAATTTGAAAACCAAAAAAATAAAAAGGAGCACCCAGTCACCGACAATGTGATACCGACCCTACTGAAAGACTATCTAGTCAATGTTTATTCATTTCTTAGCAAAAGATAACAACGCTATCCTTCTTTTCCACAAAATGGAAAATACAGCTCTCGGGAAATAACAAAAGCAGAGAACTCCAATGGTACATGCCAAAAGTAAACAGCCTTTAACCGTTTAGCCTGCAAATCTTTTCCAAATTTCATGAAAGTAGAGCATTTCTGCCATTTCTGGGTGTACTTGGGCATTTAAGCACTTTCATTTTCACAATTTGGATGACATAAATACATGCATGATGCATCAAAACAATACAAACTCGACAAAGGTTTTAGTAAAAACTATGCTTAACAAGCATGACTTATGACAAAAATAAGAATCATAATCTCCATTAATAATTAACCACAGTAAAGTTATGATCATATAGTTCATAGCAAAATATTATTTACATTTGGCTAGAATCATTTTTAAAAAAATGAGAACATGATTTTCAATCATAAGCCATACTCTAGCAGATTTGTAACATATATCTTTTTCCTTTCCTCAGACATGGTGAAAAACACTCTCAGCAGGTCATGATTGGTGGCCAAAATATTTGTGGCTCGAAAGACTTGCAACCCAGTAAGACCTTCAATTTTGCTCAACTCACCGTCAAGTTTAGCTTGCAATTCACCCACTTTCTTATCAGGTGAAAGAATTTTAATCAGAACATCAATCTTTGATGACATTGCTTCTATGGAAGCTGCCATACTCCCGAAACCCTTCCTTACCTCCTCCATTACCTTTGCTTTCACCCTGCGTCCATGACCTGAAACACTTGGGGAACTTTGTGCAGGTCTTCGTTGTTGGCTACTAAATGATACATCAAACTCTTCCATCCCTTCAGACTCTGATTCCATATTCTTATCAACATTCAGATTCACATTTTCGTCAAAATCATTGTCTCCACCTAGAGTTTGATCAATGTTTGCATCCTCCCGTCTAATTTCCTCTTCTTCATCATCAGCATTGCCAACATTTGCACCAATGGGACGACCCTTTCCATATATCTCACCAAATATATAGTAGAATGGAAATGATCTCCCATACAATCCACTTGCCTCCTTTCTTTTCTACAATAAAAACATATCATAGAACATTTATTCAATAATTCAGGGAACAATAAAAGAAATAACGAGTAGGATATGTGCAAATTTACCTTCACCCATTCATCATATACTCTTCTATCACAAACCAGCATCATTTGTTCGTCATCCCAACCAAAACCATTTTGAGCTAACATCTCACATAAGGCAGAATATTTTTTCTTCAACGTCTTAACTCGTGATTCAATGTGAGGAGACGCATGTATTCCACAACCCGGCAGTTTAAATTCCAGCATAGCCTCTATATGGCCTAAGTAACCATTTTTGAAACCATTATCGTCTCGCCAGCTGGTGTCATGATATAATTCTTGCAATGATTCGACTAATGCAGAATCCTCCTTGGTTGTCCAAAATCGTTTATTGAGACCCCTTCCTCGTTTTCTCGTGGTCGAATTAGAATTCATCCTACAACAGTAACAATACTACAAAAATGTGACAAAAACCACAAACACATAACATATACATGTAAGAATAACTGCTTGGCTCCAAAAAGTTTATTCTGTAATTTGAAAAATTAGGAATGACTTGGAATGGGAATGATTATGATCCCCTCCATTCTCATTCCAGGTACGTAAGCATGCAATGAGTTCTTTATATAATTAGGCGCTATGTGGCAGAATCTTAGTAGTTCAAACACGAGGGCAAACACACACAAGGCGGGGGAGGGAGGGTTTTACATTTCTAGAGAAAAATGGTTGTTTCCCTTGTTTTGCTGCTTCTCTCTTGTGTTCAACCAAACTGCAGCATCAATGTGCTTTGTTGGCTTACACTTCAGTATTAGCTGTTTATCCTGAAAATGCATAACAACAATAAATAAATTTGATCTGCAAGTAAACTAACATTTTTCACAAAGAAAGGGATATATAGCACAGCCATACATGAGAGATATAGTGTTACATATCTTTCAAAAACGAAAACACTAACAATCCAAGATATAAGCTTCTTCAATTCTTAAATAACTATTCGATCGTTGGATATTTTAATTGTTTTTGTAGTTTTTGTCACGAAAGAGAACTCAGAAAAAAAAAAAGTATAAAGAGAAAAACAGAAGAAGCTAAAGGCATATGTCCATAACCGGTATAAGAAATTACATTTCTTTTGGCAGGATGCTCATCCCAAATATAAAATCAAGATGTCTTCCTAAGCCTGTAGTGTATAGATGTTGTTTACTCAGCAAAGATGCTTCCAAAGAAAATCAACAAAAAAGGCATATGTCCATAACCGGTATAAGAAATTACATTTCTTTTGGCAGGATGCTCATCCCAAATATAAAATCAAGATGTCTTCCTAAGCCTGTAGTGTATAGATGTTGTTTACTCAGCAAAGATGCTTCCAAAGAAAATCAACAAACATACATTTGGTCCTACGAATTTTACATGATAGTTTACCAAAGCAGTTGACAAACAACACTTTTGGATTGGCAAATGAGATATTCAGTAATCCAAAATTATAAAATAAAATTCAGGACTGAAAGAAAAAGGGAAAATTTTTGTATCACATACACAATACATGTGGAGAGAGAGCCTTAAAAACAAATCTTTCAACGTACACATAAAGATTCAAAAATGGGCTAAGTACCAGCTGAAGATTATAAGAAAGAATCCCGACCAAAATATGATGGTTAATCATTAAATCAACAGCCTTATACACCAAATGAGAATATTAAGCCCTTAAAGATTGGAAAACTACGAAGAATCTTGCAGTACATTCAAGTATGAAGTATGGTGAATTGATATACTAACTTTTCAGGCAAACTTCTAAGAGTATACAAAACATCACTCACACAAAGAAAGATGCCTCCAATCAGCTATCTGCTCATGGTTTTAAAATATATTGTTTTGTAAAGGCAAAACAAGAAAAGGAAAAACATAGATTGCAGACTAAACTATATGCTCTAATGTTGCTTGCTTTATCATCATATATTGCCAAAGAATTAAATAAATCGGAGAGTGGAAACACAGTAGGCCCATAAAACATTCATAGCCTTGCTTCCATATATCATGCTTAATATCAAAGCAGGTTTGATTCGCACAACAAAACCAGTTGCGGTCATTCATTGTAAAGTAAGTGTCATGGTAAAATATTCACATCACCTACTCTCTTCTCTTCTCACAAAATCTCTGAGAACCCCATGAAACACCAAAAATGGCTCCAACAAAAAAGTTTCAATCCTAAATTCCTAATTGAATGAGCACATACAAATCACAAAGCAGAACAAACTACATTCATTCAAGAACAAAGCTCACTCCTTTTCTTGACCAAGAAAAAAAGTTCACTCCTTTTCTTGACCAAAAAAAAAAGGCTCACTCCTTTTGGAACTCGCAACGCAACCAACCTTCATTGGTCTTCATACAATCCCATACACACAATTGACAACACTACCAAAACCCATCAAAAGAAATTACAGTCCAAAAAGAAACCCAATCAAAACCAATCAAAACAACCCAATATAGGCTCAAATCACAGGTCTTATGGGTTACTTACGTTTTGGGAAGAAGATGAAGTTTCGGGTCGTTCGCGCTTGGTTTTTCTTGATCTCGCCATTGCCGCTGTCAGGTTTCTTCACTGTTTCGTAGTGTGAATTGTTGGGTTCGAACATGAAAACAATTTATAGTCAGCAAAGCAGAAGGAAGGGCCAGCATGGGCCTATTGGGTTGGGTGTTCGATTGTCGGGTCCACTCCAGTAGACATCTTTTGGGTTCTCGGATCTGACCATTTCGGCTGTCGTGGGAATCGCATTCATTTCTTCAGATTATGATTTTTTTTTTGTGGACAAATTCTTCAGATTATGATGGTCAGTCGTTCAGCATTGTACTTTGTATATGTGAACTGGTGTAGTTATTAAAATTAGTGTAGTGGTTTGGAGAAATTGCTCTCTATAAAGGTATTGGGTTCGAGTCTTAATATATGTGTATTGTGTCTGAATTTAGCATATTATAACTTTGCTCAATAAAAAATATCTTAAATGAAAAAAAAAACTTGATATAGCTATCAAAACTATAGAAATCTCTTGAACCGTGCTCACACGCATCTTAATAGACTTTTCATCTTGACAAAAGATTGGAGATCAAATTTTTAATTCTTTTTTGCTTTTAAATTATTTATATTGTAATACACTCTTATTCTTTAAAACTAGCCCCACGCATGTGCCAATTAGTTTTCTTTTTTCTTTTTTCTTTTATTTTTAGAATTAGGAAAAGATAACATGGGTAGTTATGTTCCATAAAAGTAGGATCTATTATTTGATTTTGTTTTTATTTTTATTTTTGTAATATGAAAAAAGTGAACTTACCATATTATCCTCATTTAATTAATAATTTCAATTCTTAATGTTTGAATTAACCAAGGGCATTTTCTAGTATTTTGAATATTTCACCATTCTCTACCTTTTGTTTTATATTCTTTAAAATGAATAATTTGTGAATCAAAATTTCTTTTCTTAAATGAAGACAAATTGGATTATTTGAAAATTTAACCATTAAGAAATTTTACTTTACATATAAAGACATAAAATAGATGTACAAATATTAAATAGTATTTTAAATTATGCACAATGTTACATATTATATAGTTTCCCATTGATTCATTTTGGATATCTCTATTTGTTTGATTTATATGGTTAGTGATCAATGTTTTGTTAAGAAGTTATTGTGCACCTAATTTACTAACGTAATGTATATCTCAACACACCCCAACCACCACTCACACTCCCTTGACCTTCCTTCCCATCCCCCCAACCCTAATCCGCCCTCGTCCTTACTGAAACCCTACCTAGACATCCTAGCCACTTATGTGACCTCTTCAACACCTCCATCAACTCAAGGGTGAGTGTATTTTGACGATATTGTCTTCAATTTTTAATGCTAAAATTGATGTCGAAGATGACATTAATGTGTGACATAAGAGGATGTGAATGACATTGATTGAATTTAAAGAATATGGAGTAAAATGATGTGTTAGGACACCATCCCCTTAAGCCTGTCATTTTTGTTCAACCTTAACAAGCAAGGGCTATTGTTCTGTCTTACACGCTGAGGCTCTAGCTCTTTCGTCATGTGGTGTATTGAGCTCGGCAGTTTAAGTTGAAGAAGATTCTCAAGTTCTTATACAGACCTTATGTAAAAAAAGTCAATGTCCATGGAATATAGCTCCAATCCTTCAAGATATCCAGTTAACTGCTGAAGATTTTGAAGAGATCTACTTTCGACATGTTTTCAGAGAAGCGAATAGAGCTGCATATGAATTTGCTCATATTGGGAACGTTAGGAATAGTCAGAATATGTGGTTTTCTAGTTTCCCAAAGAAGTTGTACTTTGTAACGTTAGTTGATGCAATTGGTGTAAGGACTCCAAGGGGGTCGTAGTGTACTCGTTTTCCTTGTTAAAAAAACAAAAACAAAGCAAAGCAAGGGCTATTGATAACAACAAAGGGGGCTGTTAAAGAAATGTTTAGAGACGAATGAGAGCATTAATAACGTTCGATGACTTCAAGAAGTTATGGAATATATAAAAGGACAAAGTCCAAGGGTATTATTGTATTTACACTTCCAACAGCCAACCAACTAACTCTCACTCACCCAATCCAGACTGAGTGAATCCCACCAGCAATAACGATGTCTCCAAGGGTGTTTACGTCATTTCATCAAAATAAGTCCTCAAATTCCAATTTCCTTCTCTTTTATTTTCGAGAAAAATAAAAATAAAACCAGTAGAGCATCTCATTTCCTTGTTCAACTCTTCTTCTTCTTCGCAGATTCATTTTACCAGAGAAGCCAAAAACAAGGCGAGACCAGCCATGGGCCTGGAGATGGAATCCATGGCCGCCGCGATCGGTATCTCGGTCGCGGTGCTCCGTTTCCTCCTCTGCTACGTCGCCACCATCCCCGTCAGCTTCCTCTGGCGACTCGTCCCGAGCCCACCCGCCAAGCACCTTTACGCCGCCGTTTCGGGCGCTCTCCTCTCGTATCTCTCGTTCGGTTTCTCCTCCAACCTTCATTTCTTAGTCCCAATGTTACTCGGCTATGCTTCCATGGTCTTCGCTCGGAGCCATTGTGGTATAATTACCTTCATCTTGAGCTTTGGATACCTCATCGGCTGGTACGTTTCTTAAAAAACTAATCTTTGATTCGATGTTTAAATTTGAGGAACTGTGTTCTTTGTTTGTGAGTTGGGTAATCGAAATTTAGGAGAAAATTTGATGGATAGTGTTATTTTGTGACGCTGGTTTTCTTAAAAAATTCTTTTTTATTAAGTTTAAAGCTTGTGATTGTATAAAACGTTATTTTTGAGGTTATGAATGCAACAAAAAACAGTTCATGTTGGTTGATTGGTATTTTTATAGTATGATGTGTAGTGTCATTATTTATTTATTTTTATTAATGATTGAATTTGATACTGTATGTATGTAACTGTCATGCACTTGAATTAACTCGTTTTTTTCTTTTAATTTCTTGACAATTTTGATTATTTTTTAGCAGTCATTAAAGGGTTTAATGTACTAAGTTTTACAGAGCTTACTTGTCTCATTTTAATGTCACTGAACTCTTTTTGTGATGCATTTGATGCATTTTGCATTTTCTAATTTCAATCACCTTATGCTCTGGGAGAAAGCACAGTTGCACCATTAACAACATGTGGAGGGCGTAGGGATTTTTTGCTGTCATTGTTGCTAACATTGTTCCTTTAATGCTTAATGGTCTTCAAGTGATAATACATTATCTATAATGCGATAGTCTTTATAATTATGTATCTAGAGATGTATTGAAAAATCTTATTTCAGAATTCTTGATCATTCGTAAACATGTGTCTGTATGTGTAGCCATGTATTTTACATGAGTGGGGACGCATGGAAGGAAGGAGGAATTGATGCAACTGGTAAGCCCAATATCAGCCTTTCTAGCCGGCTTGTGTTTCCTCCTTAATGTTTTATCTTTACTGGGTTATGATGAGTGCCATTCTCCTATAAGAAAACCATTAGTTGTGTGTTTTGTAACTGATGAAGTCCATTTCTCTTTTGTTACTAAAATATTGGGCTTCTTCTAATGAATTGTAAATATGACTGAAAATGAAAATGCATATAGTGGCCTTTTTTTTTATAGCCATATTGGAGAAGCTATAACCCTTGTTGTTTATACCAGTCAGCTAATTTTGAATTTTCCCTCTCATATTTAGGAGCCTTAATGGTGTTAACACTGAAGGTCATCTCATGTGCAATAAATTACAATGATGGGTTACTGAAAGAGGAAGGACTGCGTGAGTCTCAGAAGAAAAACCGTTTGATTAAGTTACCCTCATTGATCGAGTACTTCGGTTACTGCCTCTGCTGTGGTAGCCACTTTGCTGGTCCAGTTTATGAGATGAAGGATTATCTTGACTGGACTGAAGGAAAGGGGGTATGCGCTTATGATGTTCCAGATGTGTGACTTTCTTCTTAGTTTTGTTTTTCCTGAGATTGACACTTCTCACTTATTAAATATCATTTTCAGATTTGGAGCCACTCAGAGGAAGGACTGTCTCCATCACCATATGGAGCAACAATTCGAGCTCTGCTCCAAGCTGCATTCTGTATGGCATTGTATTTGTATCTGGTACCCCAATTTCCTCTGTCAAGATTTACTGATCCCATATACCAGGAATGGGGTTTCTGGAAACGGTTGGGCTATCAGTATATGTCAGGATTTACAGCAAGGTGGAAATATTATTTCATCTGGTCAATTTCAGAAGCTTCTATCATTCTTTCTGGTTTGGGTTTCACTGGCTGGACAGAATCTTCACCGCCAAAGCCGCGATGGGATCGTGCAAAAAATGTTGATATTCTAGGCGTTGAGTTTGCAAAGAGTTCAGTTCAGTTACCACTTGTTTGGAACATACAAGTCAGCACCTGGCTACGTCATTGTGAGCATCTCTCATGCTTCCTAAGTTTTGCTTTGTTGTCGGTAACAGAGATTTTTTTTATAAATTTTCTCGAAACTACTTTTGAATCTCCAATCTATAAAACCTCTTTTGGTTTGAGTTGGGTTTTTCTTTTAACTTTTTCTATATGCAAATTCAGAAAAGAACTTTTCACCACAAAAAAGATTCAGAAAAGAACTATATGAATAATTAGTCCAGGTATTAAATATTTAAAGTTTGAACTACGCATAGCTTTCGTCCAGTTAGAAAATGAGTGATCCTTAAACTGGACAATTTGGTCACTGTTTCTTGAGTTTTGCGTCTATTGAAATTTATGGCTGAAAGTTGACTACTTTTAGGTCTGTTAAGGACTGTCACTTGTTTTCTTTATCATCAGAAATTATCAGTATTTTATTCACATGAAGCAAGAGATAACTATTTAAAATAGATGCTTTATCTGATATATTATGGTTCTGTAGATGTTTATGAAAGGCTTGTTAAACCTGGCAAGAAGGCTGGTTTCTTCCAGTTGCTGACTACACAGACCGTCAGTGCTGTTTGGCATGTAAGTATGAATTGTCTTAGAATCATCCTCAATGTGTGTATATCTTTTGCTGATTTTGTGCCCCATTTATGTTTTCATTGTTAGGTGATTATGCCGTGTATGAGATTAAGAAAATCAATTATTAGTATGTTTTTTTCAAGCAAAATCTTCAACTAGTAGTTCTTCTGCACATGCATGCATATGTTCTCTGCCTCTCTTAAATGGTTTTTGGGCACTCATTCTATCAAATGAACATAGGTGTCCATCTCTTATAAATTTTTTTAAAAAATCAAAAGGAAAAGCAATTAACTCCGATTAGATAATTAACCAGTTGACAGTTCTCATAAAGAAAATCATATAGTTTCTCAGTTTT